GAAGACGATGAGGACACCTCACACACTAGTTCAAAGACAAGTGAGATCAAATGTTTTAAGTGTCTAGGAAGAGGCCACATTTCCTCTCAATGCCTCACCAAAAAGACCATGATTAAGGGGTAAAGACATTTCTAGTGATTCCCTCATGTACTATACATATAAATAATCTCCTTTTCCCACGTACCTGGATGAATAGGAACTCGGGCAGAATCTCCTCTTCTTTTTCTTAAACCGGGACCAGAACTAGGGCAGAACCTCCTCTATCTTCCTCCTCTTTTCTCTCCCTAGGCAGAACTTCCTCTACTGGATTTCTCTTCTTCTCTCTCCTTTTTTCCTTCCCCTTCTCTCTCTCTTTCTCCCTTTCTCTCTCTCTTCTTTCTCTCTCTAGGACCTCTTCTCCAAGTTATGAATTTCCTTCAGCCCCTAGCTATCCCCTATTTATAGGCAACCTGGGGTACCCGGAACGACCGTACTGAATTCGGAACGGCCCGTTCCGGATCCTTCGAATCTGTGCAAATTTTTGAACTGGAACGGCCCGTTCTAAAGTCGGAACGACCCGTTCCCAAAAAGCAGAACGACCCGTTCTAAAACCAGAACAGCCCGTTCTCAATCTCAGCAAAACGGCCTGTTCTCCTTCCGGAACGGCCCGTTCTAGGCCCGTTCCCAACTTAAAAATTTAGCTTATTTTTAATGCTCAGAACGGCCCGTCCCACTTTCGGAACAGCCCGTTCCGACTTACTCAAATACCCCTAATACCTTTATAAAATTACGAAAATGTCCTCAGTAATTACAAAAATGTCATTACTAATAAAAATATCCTTTTAAAGAAATTGGGGTGTTATAGACGCCACCTTTGAAGAACATGATCCAAGGAGTCAAGGTGTCCTCACATTGATCAACCAATCCATCAATGCTAGTAAGGATGTCATCCGATCCAACTGTTGAATTTAAAGTTTTTAATGCATAGATCAATTCTGTAAATGTTTTAAAAAATTAAAAACCATTTAATATTTCGTTTCATTAATTTAAATTGATGGCTAATCATAAATATATTTTATATGTTGATTTGAATTAATGAAACGAAGTATCAAATAATTTTTAATTTTTTTAAAAGTTTACAGATATGATCCACTTTAAATTCAACAGTTAGATTGCTAAAATTTGATATATAGAATATAATTTATTAAAAAAAATAAGTTTAAGTAATCTTACCCTTGCAACAGACGAATCCCTCCTCCTCATATGACAAATAAATATAAGTGTTGACATAAACAAGACATTAAAACACGTTAACTATAATATCAACCAAAAGAATAAATAAATGTTGCTTCATTTGCAATTTAACCAACCATGTTATGATAATATTTTAGCAGATTTTTTCAAAGCATCTCTCTATATTTGCACTATGCTCTTAGATTTGGTGTTATGTGAGCAAATTCATTTTTGTATGTCTAAGATTGATGTCTTACATGTGTGGGTTCCACTTTGTGGAAAATAGGGATTACAATGTGCCTATATTTGTCTTTGCATTCAAGTATTTTCACAACTTCTTCTAAACACCAACGCGAAGAAGCATAGTGATGTGAAAATATGATCAATGAAATGAAAGATCCTTTCAATTGCTGCAACAAGTGATGGCCATATTTCTTCTCCCTTCTGAAGCTATAATCAACAAAAGCATTTATCTTCTTTCTTTAAAAGGTTTTTTTTTTATTATTTCTTTTATTTTTTACCATTACATCCATTCTAACATTTAATAATGTGAAAGTCCTTGTCTTCAAAATATTGGACAAAATGTCCCTATTTTTAGTGCATTGAGTTGTCAGGTAATTTTTTAATTAATTTTTTTATTTTTAATTTATAAAATATATTTTTAATATAATAAATATATTTTAAAATATGAAAATATAAATTAAAATAAAATATATTATTATATTAATTAAATTATTTAAACATGTAATATTTTTTAAAAATATTTAAAATATTTCTTTTGTTTGATTGAAAAGAAAATAAAAGGAAAAAAAAAGAAGAAGAGAGGAATTGAGTTTAATGACATTCTTGCAACAATCTTTTTCTCCTACATTACTTCATGATTTATATGAATTATACATGAAATAAAAAAAAAACATTAATTAACCATTTAATTTTATTATGCATCATAATTTTAAAATAAAAGAATTAAAAAGAAAAATCAAAAATCAAAAACCCTAAACTAAAGAAAAAGAAGCTAGCAGGTATAAAAAGAAAATGGTGACAACATGCGATTAACATTAACCTCGAATATGTACGTATGACTTTCAATTTAAGAAGCAATTTCATTGACAAATTTACAATAGTGATGGATAAAGCAATTGCTTCTTTACCTTTACCACCCCAAAGTGAGAATCTGGTTCACATTCTTTTGAAATTGGATAATAAAGTTTGGAATAAATATAGCAAAGAATTATATTTTACTCCTCATCCAAGTAAAATAATATATTTTAATTTCAATTTAGTTTTATAAATCGGATATTTTTAAAATTATTATTTGTTGTTTCATCAAAGACATGGCGCAACGTCATTTACCGACTATCTATTAAAATATTAACCCAACATTCTACTGTATTTAAATTTATAAACATATTAATTATCATATTAAACAATAAATATTACTGTCTATGTTAATAAACATAATTGTCTTTTTATTACATACTTTTGACAAGGATTAGAATCTCCCATCAACAGATTAATAGCTTGTAGCGAATTAAAACACAGATAACATTACTATATTTAAATATATAAATATATTATCATATTAAACAAAAATATTATGATTTAAGATTTTTTTATAATTAAATTGTTGACACGAAATATCCAATTATTTGTCTGTGATTAATTACTGCCAAAAAAAAAAAAAAAACCTGACTGGACACCTTTAAAAAAAACTAACCTCCCAATCATGCTTTTTATTAGTTAGTATGTATTAGCTTAAGTTGTGGTTTTCTCATTTTAAAATTGCATGCAAATTTTATTGGCATACAAACAAGTTTCACATCGATAAAATAATAAAAGAAATAACAACTTATATAATACAAAAATACTTCAATAATCAATAGGCCTTTTGAGTAATGGCTAAAAAGCAAAACCGTTTAAGCTCAAAGCGGACAATATCTTGTAGAGTATGTTTGTCTAATAACTTATAAAAAATAATACTCATAAATAACTAATAAAATAACCCCCAACAAATTTTAAAAGAATAAATCTGGTTTAATTTCTTTTAAAATTATCTAATAAAGTTTGAAATAAATATATTAATTATCCAAGCAAAACATTATATTTTATTTTTTAATTTCTTTATCAACTTGGTATATTTTTAAGGGAAATGTTATGGTACCCATGAAAATCGAAGGGTTTTAGTATATTAAATTATGTGAATAAATAAATTTTATAAAATAAATTCAAAATAACATAAATTTTAGATTAAAAATTTGTATAAAATGAATCAATAAAAAAGACTAATTAAAAAAAATCAAAGATCAATTTTCATAACAAATTTTGTTTATATATGAAAAAATTAAAAAATTAAAAACAAAAAATTATAATAATATTATTAAAACATTAAAATAAAAAATAAATAATACAACTGAAAAACTAATTTATACTATAAATTAAAAAAAATATCACCAAAGAAAAACTAAAACATATTAACAAAATATTAATATTAAACTTTTTAATTATAATAGATGCTACATTAAGATATAAATTAAAAAATATAAAAATAATACAAAGATATAGAAAATTTTATACAGATAAATAATTAAAAATATTAAATAAAAATAAAAATAAAACAAGTAATTATAATAAATAAAAATAAATAAATAAAATAATTGTTCCAGTACCCTACAATTATAGTGAGTACCGTAAAATTTCTCTATTTTTAAATAACAACAGTCAACAGTTATTTCTGTGTGATTTCTTGTAACTCGAAATTAACATTTTCAAGCACGAATTTAGGACTTTTCTTTCAATAACACCATAGCATGGTTTTAACATGAATATTTTAATTGAAAAAAGTAGTGAAGCAAATAATACTCCACGTGCAGCTATTACAGAGACTCAAAAACATACTTTCACACAAATCTCAAAGTGAATAAAAGATCAACTTTAATTTGTGGTTGCAACCTGGCAATCAAATAGAATTATTTGCTCTCAACTTCCTACTAAGCATTTTATTGCCCATTTTCCTTCTCTGATACTACCTATGATAATTTTGGGATGGTTTCTGCAGCAAGTACAACTGATTGATTCCATGCAAGCACTTTGGATTCTGATAACCAAGAGATAGTGCACAACCTTCATGTGTTAGGGCTAAATGCATCATCCCTTCTGAAAAGGAAATTTTCACCAAACAAGAAAAAATGGAAACTGTTGAATATATGAATTTGAATGCCTCAACTAAGTCTTTTGTCAAATCTTTATACCAAACCATATCACATGAAAGAAATAGATAACACAAAAGAATATAGTGACAACAATATCATACCAACTCGAAATCTGATTATTCAATGTTTTCATCTGAATAGTGTGTTTCGAATATGGAATGAAGCCTAAAAAACATAGACAACTAGTGTAGAAAGTTCTGTTAATTAATTTAATTTTTACATATTTAGTCCTCATCAATCATCACATTTTTATGATAATTTTTTCTCAATACTTAAAAAATAAATATAGTACACTCAATAGTACCTTGTGACTAGTTTTTTTAAACTAGCAGTTAATTTTACCTTTTCTTATGTACTTTGGGGTCGAGGAAGTCAAGGTAGGGGGAGCATTTGTCTCGCCTAGACCTTGTACAACTTAAAAACTTTACAGCATAAAGACACAGTAACAGGTAATGGAAGAATTAATATTCAAAATATGTCATAATCAAGAAAAAGTGATACAACTTGAGAAATTATATGATCTTCATTAGCTGGTAAGGGAAGAATTAAAGGAAATAACTTATTTATTTGCTACAAAAATATTGATAACACCAAAGCAAGACCAAAACATTCAGTTTCAGAATAGAGTAATGCTGTATAGTCCAAATCCATCGTCTGAAATTTTTTCCAAACACAAAAGATTCAAGTCAGTGAACTTACACATTTGACTTTTCAAAAAATTTTAACGTTCGGAAGATATTTTGGAATTTAAATTCGGAGGATTTAGCATTTTTGTTCAGAATATATACCTTATCCTATAAATTTACAACCATGTAGAGCCACAATTGTAATGTGCATACTTGAAAATTAATTATCACAATCATTACTTCGTCCATGGTCATATTCCTTTTCAGTAAGGGTTCTCCGTAGTTTTTAGTAGGCTTGCATATTGTTGTCTTTTGAGTAATAGTTACTTGTACTTACTTGCTTAAGAGCTTAGTAGGTTCAAATGTTAACTTTTTAATAACTTAATGTTGTAACCAAATAAGTTCATATAATATGAAATGACAGAGTCTTCTAAATCAAAGATTTGGTTGTAGACTGGAGGAAGGAAATACCTGAGATTATAGGAAGCACACAACCCAATTCCACGTGCTTAATGGAACTGAGACATTGACATTTGTTGAATGAAATTGTTATATGTCGAGCTGGTTATTGCACTGACCCCGAATCCTAGTACCATATCCGGCCGCATGACAGTAGTTTTTCTGAAGAGTGTGTGATATGTGTGTAACACTATTTGAGCTTGGATTTTAAAGCTTGTTTGATTTTGGGCTCTACTATTTAGGAAGTTAGAACATCTTCGATCGTACATCACACACACATGATTCGACTCAATTGTCCAACGACAATAATCTATGATCATTTCAACACTGTCCCTTTCACCTTCACCATCACCGTCACTTAAAGTGATTTTAACTGTAAGTTCATTTTCAATTGCTGTTCCTTCATAGTTACCAAGGACGAAGCCAAAAATGAAGTTAAGCATGGGAGAGGATGGAGTAGAAGAGAGATCAATAATTACATAATTATTTGTTCTCTTATACTCCAACCACTCTGGAACAAAGCTTCCAGGATACACATAAACAACTTTATTGTGATCTGCAAAATTCATCACACTGATTTGTGCATTCAACTGAATAGCAACTAGAGAATGTTGATCCAAGTTCAAGCAATTCCATAACAGAACTCGTGTCCTGTTTGCCCTTAATTGTTCAACAGATGTTGAAGGGAGCAATAACATTGTCTTCAACGATTTGCAATCTCTAGCGTTTATATTTTTCAAGGATAGGGGAAGCATTGGTAGAGTTTGAAGTGAACTGCAAGATTGGGCATCTAAAGTTTCAAGGGAAGGGGGAAGATTTGGTATGGTGTGAAGTGATTTGCAGTTTCTGAGTTTTAGAGTTTTAAGGTATGGGTGAAGCTTTGGTAGAGTTTGAAGTGATTCACAGTTTTCAGCATCTAAACATAAAAGGGTCTGGGGAAGCTCTGGAATACTTTGAAGTGACTTGCAATCTCTAAAATCTAGAGTTTTAAGTGATGGGGCAAGCTCTGGTATTGTTTCAAGCTCACGGCAACAGCTTAGGTTTAGATGTAGCAGTTGCGTAAGATTGTTGATGGATGAAGGTAACCTCTGAATGCCACTTTCTGTTAGATTTAGTGATTTAAGCTTTCTTTGATGTCCAAATGACGAGGGAAGTGCTTTCATTTGCTTTGTCCATGATAAGTCCAATTTTTCCATATTTTTTGATATAATTGAGAATTCAGTAAGATTCTTACAATAAACAAGGATGAGATAATTGAGGCTATGCATATGGGCATCACTTGAAAGTATGGTAAGGGATCCACAGTAACGAACATTCAATTTCTCAAGTTTGGCTAGAGAGAAAATAGATGGATGCACAGTAGTCAACCTATAACAAAAAGAGAGATCCAATACTTCAAGATTTATGGCTTTAGATAAATCTGGCAGCTCCTTTAACTCATAAGAATGCTCGAGGTAAACACCTTTTAAACTCACCAGGTTCTGTAATAAAATAGAGATATCAAATGCACTAAATTAGTTAATTTGGTCTCAACGATGCAACAATAAAATTATAACAGTGAGATACTTATTTACCTTCACTCCATCCCAAAGTTTTTCCATTTTGCTCAGTTGTAATTTCAATATTACTAGTTTTTCGGCAGAAAAGTTTTGTGGCAAGGATTTTAGAGGGTAACAATCCCAAGAAAGAAATCTTAATTCAGTTGCCAAAAATAGAGGTCCTTCACCAAGTTGAACTTCGAAACCATATGCATCTAATTCGCTTGAAATTTCCAGAAATTTTAGTATGCTCATCTTAGCAAATATGTGAGGCCTTAACTTTAGTCCCCTAATTGTTGTCAACTGAATTCGTATGCTTCTAATGGCCTCAGTAACCTGCCATCAATGTTAAAGAAAATTTTTAACCATCACCAAAAAGCCACATTTCTCTAATAAAGAAAATTCATATGTCATTAAAAAGATATAATTAGTTAGGATTTAAACCTTGTCATTTTTCAGTACTTCATAAATGTCATTGGGATCCCATAATCGGCTGCGGCTTCCAGGGTCTTCAATAGACTCTTGACGAACAATCTCACATCCCATTTCTTGTAAACTATCATGCATAGACACAATATTATCCTCTGAGAAAGATATCAGAGCTTTGTCTTTCAACCTTTCTAGCCCAAAAATCACTGAATTATCACTTTTATCATCTTTCAGTAAAGATTTTAGATTATCTACATTTATCTTTGTAGACAATTTGAGAAAGAAACATGCAAGATCTAGAAAAATTTGTTTCTCTTTGCGATCTAGATCATCAAAACTGAGTTTCATTTTGTCGTAAACTTTCGTAGGAGGAATTTTTTCAAGTTTGGATAATTCACTTTCCCATACTTCCTTATTTTTTCCACAAAGAAGACGAGCTAAAACTTTAAGCACTAATGGAACACCTTTGGCATAATTGACCACCTTTTTTGATAGCTCATTGTACTCCTTGTGAAGATCACTTTTGTTAAAGGCATTCCAATTGAAAAACTGAAGTGCTTCACTGGAACTGAGTTCTGTAAGCGTATATATCTCATTAGCTTTGTTAGCATTAAGCACTTGCTCATCTCTGGTAGTTACAATTATTCTGCTACCTGATCCAAAATTATCAAGAGTTCCGAGTAAATTTTGTAGGTGATCCAAATCATTTACATCATCAAGAACAATAAACACTTTCATGCGACCAATTCTTCTTACAATATCATCGGGCAATGTGTCCAATGTATTAATTTTCACATCACCTTCTAACAATTCAGAAAAGATTTCATTCTTCAAAGGAAGTATTCCATGTTTGCTTGATTGTTCTCTTTCATTTGCTAAAAAATAACAGCCTTCATATTCATACCGTAACTTATTAAATACTTCTTCAGCGAGAGTTGTCTTGCCAATACCGCCCATACCCCAAATTCCAATAAGACAAACGTCTTTTGGTTCTTTGTGTTTGCGTATCATTGATTCCACAATAGCAATTTTCTCATTAATTCCAACAAGTCCTTTTGAGTTAGCGTGTGGTTCAGCCAACTTTGACAACAAAAGATTGACAATTTCTTTAATCAGTTCAGCTTCATTTCTATATGATACAAGCAAAAAGAGTTTGGTGTTAAAAAACAATGTAAAGTAAATAACGAGACTTTGTCAGATGTACTAGAAATCTTTAAAGAAATTAACATTTAGAAATTGAAATATACAAAAATCTATTACATGGTAGTAATTTAACCACAAAATTCAATGGACAAACAAAGCATCGTTGATCAATCAGAATTCTAGCATAACAGTATTGGCTAAAATAAAACGAGTAGCAGAAGTAATGACTGAAAAGCATATAACCAATTTAAGAAATAAAGGTAATATCATCTTACAATTTAACCATTCATGTTATGATAATAAGCGTATAAACTATATTAGAACAAGAAAACATAGAACATTTATGGGAAAAAAGATCTTACTGAAATTTTGATGAGTCAATCCCAGACAAATCAGCAGACTTATTCAAAACACTTTTCCAGAGTTGTACCTTGGTCTTATGTTTTCTTTCATGCTTAGCAAGCGCAGTTTTGTAACTCCCCAATTGATGTCGTACATGTGAGGGTTCTACATGGTAGAAAACAGGAATCACAATCCGTCCATGTTTCTTTTTGCATTCAAGTATTTTCACGAGTTCTTCTAAACACCAACGAGAAGAAGCATAGCCTGTTGAGAATATGATCAACAAAATGGATGACCCTTCAATTGCTTCAACAAGTGATGGCCATATTTCTTCTCCCTTCTCAAGATTTTTATCATCTACAAATGCATTTATTTTCTTCCTTTGGAAAGTGTCAATCAAATGGCTAAGAAACCCTGAACGAATGTCCTCACCCCTGAAGCTAACAAAAGCATCGTACTTCACTTGAGGAGTGTTGTTTTCTGACTCTAAGATGGGTTTTTCATTTTCCTCAACTACACCACCTTTCAGTTTTCGAAACAACCGAAAGGCAAAGGAAAACAACAGACAAAAAAACAAACAAGAGCCAAAGAAATTCAACATATTGGTTTTCGAAAACAACTCAGACACAAAGTATGGTGTTAGATCGCAACAAGTGCAACCACAATTAATGTAACTGCAAAGAAAAAGAGAGTTTGATATGTCTATAACAAGTCATATGATAAAAACATGAATATCAGCTATTTTTCTGGATAAGCATGCTTTCAAACTAAGTTATCTACGTGTCTACGTGTCTGCCTTTCGGTTTAAGAAGCAATTTCTTTTGCCAATTTTTCAACAATGATGGAATAAATAAGCATTTTCTTTTTTAACTTTATGGCTTAAAAGTATTATACTGGGTCCCATAAGATAAATGAAAGTACCCAACTGCATAATCTATTTATTTTTCGCAGATTGAGTAATTTAGGGTTATTTTAAAAATAAATTATTAAATGAGCTTCTTTTAAAATAATTTATATTTTTAAGATTGTTTACCGTAGAATTATTATAGCTCATGATAACTCATATTTCACGTGTCTTTGTTTTTTTTTAATAAATCATGAGAGTTATAAAATAAAGATTATTGTAGCAAACTAATTTAAATCGTTATCAGTTATAACGATATAAAGTGACCTTTACTTTTTTTGGAATTGTCATAATCTATAGTGGTCCAAATAAAAAAATATATTTTCTTTAAGAATATAAGCAATTTCAAAATAATCTTATTTAAGTATTTAGTTTTTAAAATAAGTACATAATAATAGTTAATCAATCTTATCTTTTTAATCTCATCTTTTTTCCCTGAAGATCAATGTCCGCACTTGTTTATTCTTTTGATGGTTTGTTGGCGGTGAGGGTTGGTTTTCGGATAAACTTTTTTCATCACTTCTAAGAAGAAAATAAAAATAAATAAATATTTTTTTATAAATTAAAATTAGATTATATGTAAATTAATTTGTAAATGTTCTTTTATAAAAAAAAATATACGAATTAGCTTATTTTAGTTTATAGAAAAATTTGTATTATATTTCATATTTTTCTCTAAAAAATACTTCTTAAAAAATTTATCCAATTATAAACATAGGAATGGATACTAATTAATAAAGTCCTGCCTAGTTAGTAGGGTGTTTGGGCCAAAAACAAAAAAAATTTGCCCATTGTTTTTCTCATAGTTTTAAAAACCGGACCGGTCATTGAATCGATGGGTCACTAGTTAAACTGCATGACTCAGTTTTTTTTTTTTTATTAAAAAAATATTCTTATACCTGTCTGAGGGTACACTCGTAATCTTCAAGTGGGTAGAGGACCGAACGGGAGTTCCAGGTGGATGCTTCAGAGGGGGGAGGTACCTGTAAAAGGCACTCTGACGCTCAAGTCAGGACAAACACGAATCTCTAGAGTAAATAATTAAACAATGACATACCTCGTTACGTGTGACCTATTTATAATATATTTTATACTTATAAATTTTAATAAATTCATATCTTATTTTAAATTTCAATTTTTCTATCTTATTTAAAATTATTTTTATTTTTATTTTGTAAAAAAATATATAAAAAATTACATGTTAAACTGTATATTAATACAAATTAAAAATATAAATAATATGTACATATATAATATGCTTGCAATTGATATCACAAAATAATATATGTAATATCTACATATATATTATATTATTAAATATATAATATAAAATTAATAATATACTATAAAAGTTATTTAAGTTGTATATTATATAAATAAATACATTAGAACAAGTAGTCATTGTTATATTTAATAAGAATCTTTATTCTTTCATTAAGAAATTTAATTTTCATTATTATTTTTGTGGTTTATGGTCCCTTAAAAAAAAGTGGTTGAACCGGTTTGACCTACCGGTTCACCGGTTGAACCGGAAAATTGACTGGTTCAATCCGGTTTAAAACGGGTCAACTGCATAACCAATCCAACTTAAGGTTCGGACCAGCTGAACCACCGATTCCCGGTCTAACCGGTTTGACCGGCCGGTTCGGTCCGGGTTTTTAAACACTTGTTTTTGCTAAGACATTTGCAAATTTGAACATGTATTATGAAATGATGATGACATTGTTGATGAGAGCTGCTGGTGATTGAAAGATCGGAGAATCCATAAATAGGGAATCTGTGCAGAGAAATGTTGGACTACGTGAAAGAATATCAAGAGTTGAGGCTTTGAGCTAAAAGTAATAGAAAATAGAAATTACATGAAATGGAAATTGATAAAAAGGAGTTATAGTGATTTAGTTCTAAATTAGGTAAAAAAGTTTATCAATTATTTAATAATTCATTTCATTAAACATTAAATTAAATTATTAAATATATTAATTTAAATTTATATAATAAAATACTATATAATTTTTTTTAATAATTTTTAAATTTATCTATATATTAAAAACTTTTAATTTTAAGATTAGATCGTTGAAATTTAACATATA